AACTATATTTATTTTATCTAAACTTTGGGATCAATCAACCGTATATTGTTCAGAAAAATGATGATTGATATTTTCCGATTTCGAAGAGGGAGCCTGAAAATCAGCTACCAAGCCTCAGGCAGCAGGCGCGTAAAGGAGCGTTACAAATAAGACAGCAAGCGCGTGTTAATAAAAAATACTTTTTTCAAATGGAAAAATACATATAAAGTGAGTTCGAATTATATCAAGGAGGTTATGTACAGCACCATCTGCCCGCGAATAGATCAAGCAATAATGTAGATAATTCTGTCAAATACAGATCCCGATATGAAATGAAAAGGAGAGTTACAAACATACATACATACAGGTAAAACTAATATAAAGTATATAAAAAAGGTGAATTTCGTGGGGTGGGAAAGAGTACAATGGTTGAAGAAAATTCACAGGGACTTCTGCCTAAAAACCTGATTCGGTCCCCAGCGGGGCAGGCACAAAGTATATGCTCTGCTGTTCGTACATTAATGATTTTTTATCCGAAATGACATGTTCGTGGTACCTTGTATCAAAATTTAGACGTTGCTTGGTAGGAGCAATATTTTTAATGACTTGTGTATGAGGTTGGAATTATACAAGCATAACCAAAATTGTTGTTCTTATTTTTAACGAATAGAACTGTTATTTCAGGAAATAAAAGAAACAAAAAACAATAACTTTGTTTTCAAACACGGACCTGTTTTTTCTCTCACAAATATTGATGAAGCGATTAAATCACAAATCAATGCTATATCACACTTAATATTATTATAGCGTCTCGTTTAAAATAACAAGCATCGTCGATGACAAAAATGTTTAAGTACGGTCCTGTAGTTAGTATTTTTGTCAATTGTTTTCGATTTCTTTTGAACTTAGTTAACTATTGGTATACGAAAATATTAGTTTTTGTTTTGTTGTGTAATTTGATACAATTGAATAGCATCTCACTTCATTCACCAGTTTCAAACGCGTTGAGTATGCTTGATTTCTTTGGAAAATAAATGAGTTGTTGATATCTGTTAGGCTGTCAGACCTTCAAGCAATTGGTCACATATTAAAGATGTATTCAAATGACTAATATGCTATTTACTAATGCAAAATCAAATAAAAATCATCTTTTGGCAAAAAATATGTATAGTCGAAGTAAACGATATTGTGCACACTTGAAGTTTGCGGCACTCTCAAAGGTCAAAAATCCAATACATGGAATTGAACCGGCTGCGTGGACTGTAGAATTGGCGGTTCGTATTGGATAATTTTTATTAACCGAGTTTGGTGATTAGCTGAAGAGTCATAAAATTAAATTTGAAGCCATGTTACGGTGACGAATAGAAATCGGAAAATGCGGGGATGGTTATCGCCGTCGTGTTCAGTTCAGGAACTGATCGCGATTTGAGTGTTGAAATTCTATATTGGTGCAGTTATAATTACTTGAAATTTTTGTTATCTGTCTGAAATGTGGCGTCCTTGGACAAGTACTAATAGTAATAACGAATGAGATAACAATGCAGACTTTTTCCAGTGTAATGATTCCAATAACGATGGTGAACAATTTGAAAAAGAGATGCCAGTGAATAAGATTCAGATGCATTTGAATATTGAAACACATAGAGTATGTTTCAATGTACATAAGAACCTACATATCAAGTTTGGTTTCGAGGAAAACAAATTAACACAAGCAACGTCAGATTTGACCAAAACTTTTTCAACTATACGTAAAGTAGTCAAAAACAAATCTTATGAACGCAAGACGCGTTGTGATACAGGATTACCAAAACCTTTAATATTCATCTAATAAGATCATTGAAAAAACAATATACGACTGTTACAAAAGCAATTAATTTCCTACGACTGAAATCATAAGGAAGAAATTGAATACTTCCAGCCATAACGTGAGCTGCTTTGACAAATCTCTTCAGAATTGGATAAAGAAACTAGGATTTAGATTTATAATAATAAACAAACGTCAATCAGTTATGAAAAGCAGAAGAATAGTGGAATTGCGTAACAAATACTTAAAACAAATAACTAAATATAGACAAGAACAACGGCAAATTTTCTATTTGGACGAAACTTGGTATGACACTCACGACACAGTTACGAAAGGGTGGACTAATGGTTCGAGAATGTGTACGCCTAACATGCCTGCAAACAAAGGATCGTGACTAATGATTGTGCATTGCGGAGGAAGTGAAGGATGGGTTCCGAATTCTTTGAAATTATGTGGAAAAAAAAATTGAGGACTGCAATGTTGACTATCATAGGAACATGGAAGTTAATATTTTCGAGGAATGGTTTGAAAACACATTGATCCCAAATTTGGATGCGAATAGTGTAATAGTTCTTGACAACGCTTCCTATCATTCGCGACAGCTCATCTAAGTACAGAATAAAAGTTCGAGAAAAGATGAAATACAAATTTTTTTAATGGATGACAATTTGTATATTGAAGGTTACTATACCAAAAACCAACCGAAATTTATTTCGAAACATTAATTTCCTTGATGAAAAATAATAATTTGTAATATGTCCTCTAACTGCCGAAACTCTCGGGAATATCGGAAAAACTACAATTCTGTCATAGCATATGAACATTATTGAAATCGCAATATACAAATTTGAAATTTCAAAATTGAGAATGCCCAAAGAAATGACGTCACTATGCATGAAAATTACATGATCATATTTTGATAGTACAATAAAAATTACGATGAGATAGTGGCATACGGCATACTTTTATATTATATTGAGCAATTTTAACTGATTATTTCATAGGATTCAACTGATAAAAAACAGTAATCCCCTACAATAAACAAACATTAGGTGTCCTAATTTAGTGCATCCTCTATGCTATTTTTTTGTCTATATAACTACGTCTGCATTTTTTTTTTCAGAAGAAACCTTGGTGAAGATAAAAGACCACTCAAAACATTGTTCACGCCTGAAATCAAACGATTTTTGAAAGACTGGCTGGTGAGAAGAAGAGAAAATCCTTATCCCAATAGAGATGAGAAGAAAATTTTAGCCCTACAAACAGGATTGACATATACCCAGGTAAAAGTTAAATCTTGAGATTTATGTTTTCAACTTCCCCATTAATTCCACTTTAATGCAAGCATTTGCATATGATCTCGAATAGCAAACTTATCCGATCTGTTGAAATATGTTTTCCATTAATCAGCTGTCACCCTCCTACGAACGACATCTCTCATAAGCAGCAACTTCCGCGAGCTAAGGACTAAAGAGGTCTTACGTTTCAACGTGTGATTCTTAGCAGGATACTTTAGGATAGTGGCACATCGAAGGAAGATATTTCACCTCCGTTCCAAAGGGAATGACCTCACCATTGAGGATAAGTGGCGTTAGATCGCCCAACTTTCTTCTTCTGCTTCTTCTTCTCTCACAGTTTTACTGGGGTTGACAGACATCTACACCCTCAGGCACCAACTGTGAACAACGTCCATCGTGCTTTGGAGGATATTACAAACTACCCTTCCCGACGTGAACCTTGCCCAGATGACAAGGTCATCTGCATAAGCTTGCAGATCTACTTTTCTTCTGATGGATAATCTAGCAGATTATCCATCAGGAGCAATCATGGAAGGGAAGATAATAACACCTTGAAGGCAGCCTCTGGTGACCCTGAACCTGATGGCCTCGCCTTGAATAGTCACAGTTGCAGTTCTGTTTACCAACATGGCATAGATCCAGCCAGTTATGGCTGATTCTGTGCCTAGCCAGAGACGATCCTACAGATTTAGGTAATGCATTGTCAAATGCTCCTTCAATATCGAGAAATACAGCAACCGCAATCTCCTTGTTGTCAAGGAATTGGGAAATTGTCTCTACAAGGTTGTTTAATGCTAAATCTGTCGATTTGTCGGTTTGATAAGCATAATGGGTGGTTATTCAGGTACGACATCTCTCGAAAGTCGAAACCTGAACAGACCAAGAAACACGTCCAGCGATGAATAAAAAAATTAAAAACTTTAATATATTGGTGTCCGATTTCGAAACTTCGATGTACACCATTGAGGATGATAGCATTCCACGTAAGTTTCATTTTATATCAATGATCTGTCATATATCACATTGTATGGGGTTTTTTTAAGCGCCTCCTTCAAATACGAATGAAACAAAGTGTGTGAGATATCACAGGATTTTTTTATTCGTTTGAAAGAATCATTTGATGCCATTTTGTGCGTTCAAATGTACGGCACGGCTCCTCTGGGTGGAGCCCATTCGAAACGCGCTTGAATCAGTCTGAATTTAACCGTTGGCATGGGTTATGTTGGCTTTGAGGAACTCTATGATTTGTGGCTTATTCGCATACATCTGCGACTTAAGAAAATCCCACGCTTTTTAATCTATTGTTGGCAAATTAATTTGCAGGTAGTGGTTCCACTAGTTAATTACAGAAAAATCTATTAGGATAATCATCATTTAACAAACAGAGTCCACATCGGGCCAAAAAACTTTAGGTATATAAACAGCTAACCCTTGTCTTTAGATTCAATATCAATTTGCTTCTTCTGAAGATGCTAACCTTGTTAGCGAAACGCGCGTCGAGTACAAAAATATTAGTTTGGTGTTAGGGTAATTGATCTCTAGAAAAAGTATTCAACTTTTACACCACCAAAGGTTCCAATCTCATCGTTTAAACCGATTTTTGTGAAAATCTTAGTGTTTTTGGGTACTTTCTTCTACTTTCTGGAGACCTTTTGAAACAAATGATAACATTACGTGTGAGGAATCTGTGTCAATAAACAGGGACTTATGATGCACTGTTTGGAACCTTTGGTGTAGTAATGAATATTACTGGAGTTTTTTCCCAACACCAAATCATTATTTTGAACACCTCGACAAATGTTATTATCTACCGAGGCTTTGGCTAAATCTTGGTGGCACTCTAGTACTAGCCCTGAGGTAACAAGTTATCTGTTCAAGGCTAATAGGGCTTGTCTGCTGTTAGTGCAGATTGTTGTGTTTTTGCCAGAAATTCCATTTCTGGTTACTTCTTTTGTGGTGATTGAGATACCAGCCAGTTCTGTTTGAACCACGCTGGTATTTTTTCCGATTCTTCACTGAATCTTAAGGCTTAGTGATCTGTAGTACACTCCACATCCTGAGCGTCTTCGATTTTTGAGCCGTCTGTATATATGCGTATTGCATTTGTAGCATCTGACTCGGTGTTCTGTTTTATTTGTATTTTGTAGGGTTTATTAAACATAAACATTTATATTTTATATTCCTGTGTGTACTTTCGCCTATGTTTTATTTCCGTACTGTGTATCATTTACTTTGTCAACAGAACTAGACTTTTTCGACAATGAAGTATATTTTGATTTGATTATATTCAAAGGGAATATTCTTTTGAACTTAACCTACAAAACTCCTAACTGGTTGTAATTGACAAATGTTGAACGCATTAATTACCATTGTGTTTTATTGATTCCATGATTGAAATTATTGGTCCTCACACATATTGCCATGAATTTCACACCTTTTTTTACGTTTTCATATAAAAAGTTATTTATTATTGCAATTACAAGCACAAAATTCATTTTCAGCAATGGCGGTAAATTCTTCGCAGTGGATATCTTGTTTGAGGTACTTTTCGATCGAGCACTNGTTTTCATATAAAAAGTTATTTATTATTGCAATTAAAAGCACAAAATTCATTTTCAGCAATGGCGGTAAATTCTTCGCAGTGGATATCTTGTTTGAGGTACTTTTCGATCGAGCACTCTGTCCTCTTTTTTTCTCCTTTTCTTCATAAAATTTAATGTCTTTCTTTAATTCTTTAATACGTTCACAAAACTTCTTATTTTTAAAGGAATACATTTCGAGCCAACATATATTTTGAAAGAAATTATTTTGATAATGCTGTTCAGAATCTAAAGTGTATTTTTTACGAGTTAATGCAATTTCATGTGAATTACTTTGGAGTACCTTTGGATACCCATTGAAATCTAATCTATAATATATAATAATACCTGATGGAATGAAAAAAACATTTCTCAGCATCCATTGACTTTTCTTCATAGCTTACAAAAGTTAGGTACACTTATGATTCTGTGTAAAAAGTCTATAGACTTTTTCGACAATGAAGTATATTTTGATTTGATTATATTCGAAGGGAATAACTCCTAACTGGTTGTAATTGACAAATGTTAAACTCATTAATTACCATTGTGTTTTATCCATTCCATGATTGAAATTATTGGTCCTCACACATATTGCCATGAATTTCACACCTTTTTGGCGTTTTCATATAAAAAGTTATTTATTATTGCAATTAAAAGCACAAAATTCATTTTCAACAATGGCGGTGAATTCTTCGCAGTGGATATCTCGTTTGAGCTACTTTTCGATCGAGCACTCTGTCCTGAATTTCTAAATTATTCAACAACTTCAAAACAATCTCCTTTCCTTCATAAAATTTAATGTCTTTCTTTAATTCTTTAATACGTTCACAAAACTTCTTAATTTTAAAAGGAATCATTTCGAGCCAACATATATTTTGAAAGAATGCCGTTTGACGCAAATTATTTTGATAATGCGATTCGGAATCTAAAGTGTATTTTTTACGAGTTAATGCAATTTCATGTGAATTACTTTGGAGTACCTTTGGATACCGATTGAAATCTAATCTATAATATATAATATGAGGAAATATCGTTTGGTTTCTGAAGTGAATTATTTCTTATATTTTATTTTGAATTGTGATACAATTTAAACAAAATACCAGTTAGTTGCATAAATTGTGAAATCTTGGTATTCTTTTCGTGAACCAAATCGGTTAATTCTTTCAATCTCTTTGATAGATCGTTGCTGACACGTTCAATATCGATTTCATATTGGTGGTTGAATCTTTTGAACTGAACCATAACAATGTTCATTGATAGATTTTTCACAACCTCTCGTCTGTTAATGTTAATTGAATTATTCTCTAACTCAGGTACACATTGTCAACATTAATTGGATAGGTAAAACTCAGGTACTTAAAATTCAGGTACATAAAACTCAGGTACTTCAAATTGAAAATATATATATATACTGAAAGTAATTGCTATGAGCAGTATTAAAGAAGTGATTGTTATAAGCAGCATTGAAGAATAACCGTTGAAATCCCCAGCATGGAGAAAATGTGGAAAATTAACGAGAGATCGCTATCACATTGGAACATTGTGGCGCCCCTGGAAGACGAGGCTACCCCAAGAAGTGACCCAGAACTTGCATGACCGACCATATCAACAATGTGACGAGAACATCCAGGAACAGCAACGGAGATGGGCCGAAGAAAAGGAAAAACAAGAAGAATAAGTGGAAGTCGATCGACAATGACCGCTTGAAAAAGCTCATTGAGAGCAAAATAATTATAGGTCGCGATCATTACTCGCAGAAGAACTGCAAGTTTCCTGCACCTCCCGCGGTGGATGATATCCCCGTAAGTTCTCATCCACCTACGTCTCATATAAATACTCACTACGAAGACTCTAATTTAAATAAAACGGATAAAATCATAACATTTGATATAGGACATAAATTGGTGTCTCAGTTAGAGACCCACTTTGGAGGCCTGGACCTGTCTTATCCCAAGGGTCTCCAGCCTGTCGTACAAATCTCTCACTCTCTGGCCAGGCAGGTATACACGTTTTACACAGAGAGCGTGCACGAGCGAATTGACTCACAGAAAAAAAAACGTGGACGTAAGGGAAGACGAAGAGTTCGACCGGCTGTTATGGGAACAGAATCAAAATCCCGTAGAAGCAGGGGCTTTACCAAAATTGAGGCAATCCACTGGGACCAGCAGGCTTCCCTATAAGCTTACTGGAAAGCGTCGGAAAAGTTTAGGATTCTGAACCAGACGATTTGGCCATTGAAGGGAAATTATATTTGAAATAAAACCAAAATTCAAATACTCAACTATTTACTATCTGAACCAAATTATCATAATTATTTCTTCTATAGCTCTTATCAAAATATATGCAAATATCGTAGATACTATGATGAGAATTATATATTTGTGACTGTTCAAGAACGAATTCAGC